ACTTTGGGACACTACTGAGAAGCAAATCTGAAATGTGAGAAGGACATGAGATTTGGAGGCCCAGGGCAGAATAACATGGTTTGGATATTTGTCCCACCCAAATCTCATGTTAAAATATAATCCCCAGGCTGGGTGCAGTGGCTCATGCCTGTTATCCCAGCACTTTGGGAAGCTGAGGTGGGTGGATCATCTGAGGTCAAGAGTTTGAAACCAGCCTGGCCAACATGACAAAACCCGATCTCTACTAAAAATACAAAAATTAGCTGGGCGTGGTGGTGGGCACCTGTAATCCTAGCTACTCCGGAGACTGAGGCAGGAGAATCACTCGAACCCAGTAGGTGGAGGTTGCAGTGAGCCAAGATCATGCCATTGCACTCCAGCCTGGGTGACAAGAGCAAGACTCTGTCTTAAAAAAATCAAAAAAGAAAATAATCCCCAATGTTGTAAGTGGGGCCTGGTGGGAGGTGTTTGGGCCATAGGGACAGATTCCTCATGGCTTGGTGCTGTCCTCCTTGTGAGTTCTTATGAGATCTGGCTGTTTAAAAACCCTACCCTTCCCTTGCTCCTGCTCTGCCATGTGACATGCCTGCTCTGGCTTCACTTTCTGCCATGAGTAAAAACTCCCTAAGACCTCCCAGAATCTTAGGAGATGCCAGAGCCATGCTTCTTGTACAGTCTGCAGAGCCATAAGCCAATTAAACACTTCTTTTTTTTATATATATAAATTACTCAGTCTCAGGTGTTTTTTTATAGTAACACAAGAAAAGCCTAACACAGGTATCATTACCTCTTTATAAGGAAGAAGTTGAGGCTCACACAAGTTATGTAACCTCTTCAAGCTCATAAAACAAATTAGTGTCAGAGCTGGCAAACAAATCTGGGATATCTTACTCCAACTTTTTCCTTCCTCCCTCTTTTTCCTTTTCTTTCTTCCTTCCCTTCCTTCTCTCCTCTCTTTCTTCTTTTTTTCCTGTTTTACTGTTACTTCTTTAATGGCTAAATCGAGAAGGGCTCACCTGCAAATCTCTTTTATAGAAGGTCTTACACTTCATGGGGGCATCTACTAACTGGGTTTTTTTTTTTTTTTTCCCCGTTACAAAGGCCTAACTTGATCAAATATTATCAGACTCAAATAATTTCAAAATTACTGTCTAAACGTAACGTACATATCTTCTGGAGAATTTTAGATCAATTTTTAATTGACAAACAGGTCCAACAGCTGGAATAAATAGGCATTTTAAAATAGCTATATTCAACCATTTAAAAAAAGAAGAAAGGAAAGAGGATATTCAGCAGAAATAAGCACGTAGCTATCAACAAAAATTCCTGTTTGTCAGAAAGTCTTCATTTTATTGCCAACTTGAATGATATTGCCTTGAGTTGTCCCTATCTCTGACACTGGATCAATATTTCCTTTCAGGTCTAGATTAAGATTCTGAGTGAGCATTCTGTTTTTCTCAAAATTTTTATATCGAAAGACAGAAAAAGTCATCAAATAGCACATTTCCTCAAAGTAAATTTACTTCTTTGCATCTTAGAGTCAGAAGTTGAGACCTTAAGCAACAAAATTATTTTGTTACCTGCAAAAGATATTCTCAAGGGAGGCATCTGAAAATTCTGAGTTTTATCCAGATAATTCACACCATGTGACATTTCTTTCCTGCTGATTTTTGTTTTTGCTAACCCAAATCAAAAGTATCCTTCATGGTTAAGGTCTTTTGGAGTCTTCTTGCTGCTACTTGCAGGCATCTGCTGCATGCCAAAGCCATTTTTTTGTACTATTCTTTGAGCATGCAGCCATATGACTTAACTCCCCTGTGCTAGGTTGTAATCTCCATGAGAGAGATTGAGCTTTATGTTTATTTCCTGAATGTTGTATTAGGGCTTAACAACTGAATTATGAATAAATTGTCTTTCAATGTAAACTCTCTTGGATATTAACCTTTTCCTGAAATTTCATCTTTATTCTCCTTCAGAGTAAATGAACTTGTACTCTATTTTTCTTTTCACTACAAGTAACCAGTTAGAAGGTTCTTGGGAATTGAACTCAAAATGTAGGTCAAGCAATAAATACTACATTAAATAAAAAACAAATAGTGTCTAGTTTTTGTCTTGAACTACCCCAAATTTCACAGAGACATTGCAATTTTTTAATTAGCCAGTATATATATTTCTATAGTAAAAAGCCATGTGCTGGTGACTGATTATCTGAGTCATTACGCACAATTGCAATATATTTCTATAGTAAAAAGCCATGTGCTGGTGACTGATTAACTTATCTGAGTCAATATGCACAATTGCAGAAGCTATCAGGAGGGGAGAACCTGGGGCTGAACATGACACCTCATATATCTTTTTTTAGTGAAATGCTGCTGTCAATTAGGTGAAAATGAGAACTCAAGCCCATAACCATAAAAGCCCACCTATTGAGTCTGATGCCTGCTGAGATTGGCATTCACTTGTGGTCTAAATGTTGCTGGCATAATGGGCCATTCCTATTTCTAGATGAAGGGTTTTAATAGACTGCACCAACCAGTTGACTTAAGCAGGTGATGATGAGTGTGGCTGCTTTGCTGCTTTGGTTGGATCAAGGGAGCCCTGGGCTATGGCTTGCCAATGATCTCAGAGCAGCATCTAACCCTGGGCAGCCTCTGTGAGCTGTGATTTCCTAGCCTGATTTTCTGAGACATCCAGAATTTGGAACAGTCATATTATTGGTGATGTCTGATTTTTATCATCTCTGTTGAATTTATAAACACTTATTAAGCCACTTGCTGTGTACACAACACTTTACCAAGTGCTAGGGAAGGGAGATTGGTGTAGGTCCATGGTTCTCAATGTTTTTGAACATAAGGACCATCCTTTTAATGTTATATGTTCTCAATTAGTAGCTAATTTGTGTATAAAATGGCAAAAAAGCTTCTATGTATTTATTAAAACTTTGAAAATATTTGTATTTTAAAATCTATGTATAAGATTTAATATGTATGAAGGATATAAATAATACTGCTGGTCTCTGGAAAATGATGTACTACATGGAAACTTATTCTTGTTCTTGTTATCCCTTTCAGCAAACTCATGGTGATTCAGGGTACAAACATTGGCTCCAGTGTCTCCAAGTTGGAAAATGTCCATGTAACTCCACAGATGGAACATAGTCATAGTAACATAAATGGTGATTTTTATATGTTTAACTTTTAGAATCAAATTTTGAACTACGTAATTGTTTGATTCTGAACACTGTCCCATGTCTTAGTCTTAGGATTATTTGAAGAAAAATGTTCTTAAGGTGAAATAAGTATTTTTCTTTTTGATTTTTTTATACTCAAATTTATGCCATATTTTGGCTTGCTTCATGCCCTGATCATAACATTTTTTAACCACTGTATATTTTTCTTGGAGCTTTCAATTATCTTTTATTTTTGGTGGTTTAGATTACAAATATGTCTTCCTTAGAATATTTATAATATCTCCTTGCTTCTTGCCTACTCTATTGCCATGGATCTAGCTCATTCTACTTAAATATATTATTTTTGAAGCCTATGCTTTGTCTTGTAATATAAACCGATTTCTTTCCAGATTTGATACATATCTGTCATTTTGGGATTTCTTTTCCTTGGATTCCTGGTTAATTACATCATCTTTCATCGTGCATCTTCTTTTGATTGTAACCCTCATTGGGCTGGAATATAGCTTCAAGAATCTTCTGAAGAATGAATCTATAGGAGGTAAATATTCTTTGACAATTTGACTAGGTATTAATTTTCATTTCAAAAAATTTGATCTCTGAATATTGGTGGCACTGTGTCATTGTTTTCCAGTGTTTCTGATGAGATCTGTGATATAAGCCTGATTCTAGTCTTATGAACATAGAGTTGCCAAATAAAATACATGATGCCAGCTAATTTTAACATAATCATCAAATAATTTTTAGTGTAAGTTTTTACACTGGAATGTGTACTATTTCAGGCATACTTATACTAATAAATTATTATTTGTCTGATGTTCAAATCTGTGTGTCCTATTTTTTTCCCTAAATCTCACAACCCTATTTGAAGGTCAACCACTCTTTCTCCTCTAAATGACTTTTAGATCTTCTTATTACTCTTTCTGTTTTGAAATTTCTTAAAGATGTGCTTAAATGTGGCTTATGCAGCTCAGCACTTTGTTGGATCTTACAATCGCTTTCAGCTCCAGGGAATTTTCTTCTATTACTTTCTTTAATGATTTTCTTCCCTTCATTTTATTAGTTTTCTAGAATTCTAATTAGCTTGACGTTGGGCTTTCTGAATTGCTTATGTAAGTCTAAGTCTAGTCTTCTTAATTCTGTTTTGCAAATCTGTCTTTTTATGTTCTGGAAATTTCTTCAACTTTATATTTAAAAATTTTTGGTTATCAAAACTTCAATTTCTAAGAATTCTTTATTGTTCTTTTAATTATCATCTTCTCAGATCTTATATTTAATTTATGGATGTGCTTGTTCTCATGTTTCTTCAAAGATAATGTGAGTTTTTTGTTTTATTTTGCCTTAAATTCTCATCTATTTCTGGAACTATTTTTGTTTTGCGTTCAATTATATTTATCTGAATCTTTGTTTTTCAGGATGCTACTTTATTCTCACGTGTTTGCAGATCATTGTTTAACCACATTTAAGAATAAAAAACAAGGTAAATGATTCTAGGCAATTGATAAGGTTTCCTTTGTTTTGTACTTGTCCCCTAAATAGAGAGAAAGACAAGAAGCCCTACAGGTGCAGGTAGATTTTACCAGACTCTGATGAGTGGGAGTGAGTGATAGCACTTGGAGTCTTCTATACGTGAAAATGAGTAGCGTTCTAAAATTTTAATGCTAACTGGTCCAGCTCTTCCTAGGCGATTTATCTATTTATTATTTTTTAAGACAACAAACACATTTTCCTCTTCTAGGATTACAGCTGTGCTGTCTGCTGTAGGAGGGTGCACTTGTCTTTTCACGTGGTTGTTCTCTAGACAGAGTTTTGATTAATGCTTTTTTTTGGCTTTCATTCTCATTCTTACACTTGCCTTCCTGTTGATTCTAAGTCTGGAATGTAATTTCCTCTTGTGAATATTTTGGTCTGCAAATTCTTTAGCTTTGTTCCATCTGCTTTTTGTTTTCCAGAAATTTATTGGAATCATGAATCCATCAGTAATGCCCTCTCATTTTCTTCACTATTATGGGTTTAGTGTTTTAAGAGAATTCTCAGGGAATATTGGGAGGGAGAGAAGACAAATGCATGTACTCAGCCTACAATCTGGGAACTGGAAGTTTCATCCTTTAATCTACTGCTTATCATTTCATTATGAATGTCTTCTGATGAAAATATTTTATATCTGCATGGGTGAATTTTGGTTTGGAAAACACACTTACATGTACTCTCATTTATTTTATTCTTCAGAAGTTGGAACACATATTTTTCTCATACATTTTTGAAAATAATGAAATGACAAACTATATGTGAATGTGCCTGGCATACTACCTAGTACAGAGTGGCTGCACAATAATATTATGTCTCTTGTTACAAATTTATTTTCACAATGTAGAGTTCAAGGACATTTCCATAATATTGGTATGAAGACATATTTGGATATGTGTTGCTTGAAAAAGATATAAAAACAGTTACCCGTACCTTATGATTAGAAGTAATTTTTTCATTAAACTTTATTATAAGCTTAATGAGAAATTTCTCAGAAAACATTTGGAGCTCAGAGATAAAACTTACCACAAAATTGACGACATTCTTTATCTTATTGTAGCTAACACTGTTAAAATATTTAATACAGTGATATAGTCATGGGTTTATTAAACTATAGTTATTAAATCATGAAAATGCTACATGATTGTCATTTATAGATGTAATCTCTGAAGATCAGAGGAGTTAGGAAGTTTTCCCAGCATTACATAGCATGTAAGCCAAAGAGCCAAAATTCAAACCCAAATCTTTGACTTCAAATCAGTGCTCTTTTATCCACAGCACAGATTCATAGGCTTTTTAAAAGGAAATGCAATGCATAAGGCTAAGCTTTTTAATCTTATAAATATTAATAACTATTAATAATGTTTCATTTGCAGTGAAATTGTATGCTTTAACAAGCCAAGTCATCAATGGTGAGATGCAGTTCTATGCCAGAGCTAAACTTTTCTACCAGGAAGTACCAGCCACAGAAGAGGGTATGATGGGAAATTTCATTGAATTATCCAGCCCAGACATCCAGGCATCTCAGAAATTTCTTAGGAAATTTGTTGGGGTGAGTTATTCAACTACAGCTTGATGAGAAGGCAAAGTCCTTGCAAACATTAAGCTCACATTCCTCTGTGTTGTTACTTAAGTCACGACTAAGCCATATGGCTCAGCCAAGAGTTCAGCCTGAAATCCAGTTTTAAGATGTTCAGAAAGGATGAACTATTTATGATATGATAAATATTGTATCACTGGTTTATGCCACTTGACATTTCACCCTCCTATTGCCAACTAATCTTACATGCTTCAGAGGAAGGTGAATTAGCAGTGTTGATATAAAATTTGGGAATAAAGAAGACATCTCTTTTAGAGTCTCATAAACATTTGATACTCAAATGATTGATGAGAGATCATGCCCTTTGGGATCTTGGATTGACTTATTGATTTCCTATGATAAAAATGAGACGTAGGAAGCAAATACATGAGTATGTTCAGTTTAAAAACAATGAAAGTAGAATCTTTTTATACTATTTTGTATATAGTTTTGATTTTACCTTGAAAGAATGTTGTCCTTTTGTAGTCTTGCATTGAGTCAACCCCTACTTCCTTACTTTCATATGATATGAAGACAAACAGTATATTGTAGGGGTCAAAATTTTGGGCTTTAAGGCCATCTCCATTCTTCTGCTTAATGTATAAGCAACTTTGAGCTTGTTACTTAAATGCACCAAGTGTCAGTTTTCTCACTTATGACAAGGGCACAACAATAGAAGCTACTTCACAGGATAATGTGGAGATCAAACAAGATAATATATGTCAGATACCTGTTTTAGTGCACAAAATTAGTACTCAGTAAATCTAATTTATTGCTATTACTACTAATAACAGGCTTTCATATAATGCATTCATTGTATTTTAAGGAACTTCATTTAGTTGTTAGAAAAGACTTAACCCCCAATATAAAGCTGCTGTTAGTTATATTAAGGATGCAAAGTTCTAGTTGGTAACAGGTCTTATTCCAATACATTACAAAGTCATTGGTTTGAAATTTGAAGCCCATTTTATGCTGATAAAAGAAACACAAACATTAGGCTATGGGTTTAGGTCATCACCTGAATTAGTAGCAAAATATCAATATCTCTAGTGTTGAAGTGAAGTTCACTTCAAATCCAATCTTCCTGGAGCACCCAGTGTGTTTGTCCAGAGCCTGACAGTAGAAATAATGTGATCAGGATGAGATATCTATTGGCCAAAGTGTCTGGACATCAGCTTTAGCCATAAAAGACTAGGAAGTCTAGGGATGAAGACCATGCATATTTACAGGTTAGGTTAACTTGGAGTATTTTTAAATCAGTGCTGCTGACTGGTTTCACTGAATGCTGGTTCTGAGAGAGTCAATCTGCTAAGCATTTTAGAAGCATTATCTCATTCATGCCAATTCTTGGAGGTAAGTGCTATTATTAGCTCTGTTTTTACAGTTGTGGAAACTGAGGTTTGAAGAGGTTAAATAAGTTGTCAAGATTACACAGCTGGTAAGAGACAGAACGGGGGAATAAGCCCAGCCAGGTCTGCCTGACACCAAACTTCCTGCTCTTAATCACAACATATTTTTTCCATTTGAAGCTGAGAAATCCCTGCTTTATTTATTTATTTATTTATTTAATTTATTTGGTGGACCATAGACCTCAACTCTCCTCCAGTCTGGCTGAAAGCAATCCCTCCTGCTTGCCTCATGGTGAGGCCCACTTTGATCCCAAAGTATTTCAGAAGCTTAGTTAGTAATCCAGCTGTCTTGTCACTCTGTGTGGAATGCCAAGCTGACCACAGGGATGCTAGTCAGACAGAGCCCATAAGCACGCCCACAGACCTGGGAAAGGAAACAGCCTTGCGCTAGCATATTTATGTTGGAAAAGAGGCAGCCTGCTCCTTTGAAACAAATATAAGGAGTCCTTCTTAGTAGACAAGGCTCATTGTAAAGCTGTGACTTCTAAGTACAAACACAGTCCTTTTTAAGGAATAATATTTTGGTACTTGACCTTCATGCTGTAATCTGCTAGATTAGCATTCAGGTCAAGATACAAAGAGTTAGGGACTATGAGTATCTGACATGACTTATTCCTGTGTCAACTGTGAAATGAAAGATTGTTTAATTTGAAGTTTTGCTTTCCTTTCAACACAGTGACACAAGACAGTGGGAAAAGGTGTTTAAACTAGTTGCAAATGTATTTACTTTAGCAAGTAAACAAATGATACCAAGATGATGTCAATGCTATAGTTGATAACTTTCCTGTTTTAGCTTTCTAGTGGGTGAAAGCAGTAATTCATAAAAAGTCATCAGTATTTATTTGACATTTCTCAGAGATTGGATAGCTAAAAATTCTGGGTCTACTAATTTGTTATATTTTATAGTTTTTATACAGTGACACAAGTCCCTTTCATTTTAGTTTTTAACTCCACTGGATAAACCTAAAATAATGTTCTTCAAAACAAAATACATAGGCAGAATCCAAACTAAACTGAAATTCCTAATAGTGTTTTACTAGTTTATATGAACTCATGAACATGGCATAATAAATGAAAATAACAAAATGAGTTGGGCACAGTGGCTCACACCTGTAATACCATCACTTTGGGAGGCTGAGGTGGGTGGATCACCTGGGATCAGGAGTTCAAGACCAGCCTGGCCAACATGGTGAAACCTCGTTTCTATTAAAAATACAAAAAATAGCAGGGCGTGATGGTGCGTACCTGTAATCTGAGCTACTCTGGATACTTAGGAAGGAGGATCACTTGAACCTGGGAGGGGGAGGTTGCAGTGTGCTGAGATTGCACCACTGTGCTCCAAGCTGGGAGACATAGAGGGAGACTCCAACTCAAAAGAAAAAGAAAAAGAAAACAAAGACCATCTTGTTTTGAAATCACACATTGTATGTAGTTCTAGTCATATTCATTCAAGGGCATCAGATTTCAATACAGTCACAGTTTCAGGCAGCTATGGTGTCCAATAAAGTTCATGGTGCTTTATTATTACAGGATTCTACTTTTAAAACCACTTTCTACACTAACGAGAGCAACATGACCAATAGAGGCTTTTAGGGCCAAGTAATAGTAAGAAAAATTTGAAATGAGAATCTCTTATTAAGCACACACATTTTTAGTAAAATCATTGCTAATAACTTAAAATAATTTCTCCATATACTGCTGATTTTTTTATATTATAAATTTACTTAGAAGATGCTTCTTTTACAGCATTCATGCCTAGGCCTTCTTCTGAATTAGTTCAGTCTAAATTATATTTGAATGTGACATGCGGCATAGTTTAAGTAGAAATGGCAAATGCATGGCAATATACTACCACTTGTCCTTCTCATGCTCCAGACAGGCATCACTAATCAATCATAGATCTCTTTTCTGCTGAGTCTAAATGAAGTCTTACAATTCTTTTTAACACAGAATTAGACAGATACTACAAAGGGAATCAGAGTTATTACTTGAGGTGACATCCCTAATGTAGAACTGGCTTTGGATTCAGACAGTTCCTATTCAAATTCGAATTCTGCCATTGACTATGTAATATTAGAAATCTGAGTTTTCTCATCTCCAAAATGAGGATAGTAATCTATATTGTCGAGTTTTCTTATCATAATTATTATAGCTAAGAGCTTGTTATATATAAATAATAATTGTGGCTATTATTATTCCATTTGAAAAGATGCTACAATTCCTTTACTTTTTGTTCTTCATTGTACTTTTCTAGCATAACGAAGGCCATTTGGGTGACTGGAAAGCTGCTTTTCTGATGTTTCCCTCTGTTTGTGCTTCACCTTTGATCCTTAGCCAATTTTTTTTTTTTATTCTAAGTTCCTGAGAAATCAAGAGTAGGCTTTTCCCTTGAGATCTTGATTGGCAACTTCAAGAATCTTGTTACTGTAATTTCTAGTACAAAATCTTTTCAGCAACCATCCCAATTATGACCAAATAATTTAGACCAGCTGAATCTTCATAAATCAGAAAAGGTTTTTAAATTTTACAGAAGCAAGTTTGAGAAAGTTTGCTTTGGCCGATTTCTCCTTACCCCCACCACCTTCCAATCCCCTCACCCCCAGTTCATTAATGCACAGACCTACTTAAAGAACCGTTTTTAGAGTTTCATGCCGAATAAATCATGTAGTTTCTAGTACCAAAAAAACCCAGAGAACAACGGTTAGCATTAAAGGACACAAGGAAACATTGCTGAAACTACCCTTTATCCATGTGAACTTGCTGTGTGCCATCAGGGCTGTATTTGAAATAAAATCCTGGCTTGAGAATGGAACAGTTATCATTGGTCAGCTCAGGTTCCCAAACTTACCATCAACCCAAGAGGAGTAGCTAATTCAGAGCCTTCAAAATTAGCTTAGAAAAGATAAAATTCAATTATCCCAAACTGAAATGTTTCCATTGAATGAATCCTTAAAGTAATTTTAAAACTCAGGAAGTTTCTTACTGCTTGGTTCTTTTTTGCATACATGGCAGTAATCTATAGTGCAGAACCATTTAGCTGTGGATTTGTCTCAAATTTACAGTCATTAAGGTTTTATCATCAGAGGGCTATCAATGGCTCATTTTTTGGAGAAAATTGCCAAGTGTTTAAACCTAAGATATTATTTTTTTTAAATCTTATTTATAATTCTTTATTTGGATAAAGAAAGAAAGCAGAATAGAAATGTTTCAATTATTTTTTGAAAAGATAATTGAATGTATATCTTGATTGTGGTAGTGGGTGCCTGGCTATATAAATTTGTCCAAAATCATCAAATTGTACACAAAAAAATGGTACATTTTATTGCATAAAATTTACCTAATAAAGTTGATTTAAAGAGGACTAGGGTGTGCAAGTTTCAAGGATGGGTCTCTGCACTTGAAGTATCAAGGTGCCTTTCTGCAGGGGCCTGGGAGAGCCGGAACAGACTGTGCCTTGGACTGCGGCTCCGGGATAGGAAGGGTCAGCAAACACGTCTTATTGCCTGTTTTCAACAGTGTGGAGCTGGTGGATATGATGGAATCCTTCCTCCTTGAAGCCCAGAACTATCTGCAGATCAAAGGTGACAAAGTAGAAAGCTACCACTGCTACAGCCTGCAGGAATTCACACCCCCCTTCAGGAGATATGATGTCATCTGGATTCAGTGGGTCTCTGGTTAGTCCTGCATGGTTTTGCCTTGGTTCTTCTCCCCTTCTCAGCCAGATAATGAGAGCACAAGGGAAGAGTTAGCTGTAGTACTACAAGCACTTAGCTAGCCTTAGGTGTCATGTGAACTCCCACAAAGCTTTGATCCTCCAGATTTCTCCCCTGACATTCTCTGTACAAGAAAATTACGTTTCTTCCAGGATTTACGTTGGTTCTCGAACCAACATAAATGGAGCGAGTGCCTTTGGACCAACCTAAATCCTCGAAGAAATGTAAATACTTGAAAAAATTTTAAAAGTGCAGTCAAAAAGGTTAATCCCCATTTATTGGCAGAACTTGACATTCTTAGATTTAAATCCTCAGGAAATGAGACAGCATGAATTTGATTTTGGGGTATGTGTGTATGTCACACAAAGAAGTGGTTATAGAGGGGTTCTCCAGGGGACATGGAGGGACTCATGGGGTAGACAATAATTTGTCTCAAGCCTATGAAATTGACAGGCTACATAGGATAATGAATTTTATAGACAGGGGACAGGACCTTCTCTAAGAGGATATGTGTCCTCTTACCTAAATTTTCAAAGCCTCCTATAACTAAACAAGGCTATTAAATAACTCATGAATGAGTGAACAAATGGTCTCCTGATTCTTAGCCATGTTCTTCCCTACTCACTTTCCATCTTCTCCACCATTTCATTCTATTCCCCCATCCACTTGGTCCCCCTTATAGGGCACCTGACCGATAAGGACCTTCTTGCATTTCTTTCCCGGTGCCGAGATGGCCTGAAAGAAAATGGAGTCATCATACTGAAGGACAATGTAGCCCGTGAGGGCTGTATCCTCGATCTCTCTGACAGCAGTGTGACTCGGGACATGGACATCCTCCGGAGCCTCATAAGGAAGAGTGGGCTGGTGGTGCTGAGCCAGGAGAAGCAGGAAGGCTTCCCAGAGCAGTGCATCCCTGTGTGGATGTTTGCACTGCATAGCAACAGACGCTTCTGAAAAGCAGTGGGAATGAATGATGGACTGGGCAGTGGTGCTTTAGGATGGGGTTGCTCTCCTTCCAGGTGCCCCTTGTAATACAGATAGGGATGCAAAGAGATGGGATACAATGTATGTCTCGAAATTATTTATGATATAATATGTACATGTTTTCAGTAATGGTATAATGCACATACTCTGATGAGATATGCACAAACTCGGTGGATTTTCTGAAAAGAAGAAGGAGTGAAATATCAGGAAACATGCTTTAAATCTGCTTGTATATATCTAAATTGTACAAGCATGCATGAAAACAGAAGGCATAAAGGACAGCTGGCCTGAATCAATATTTGTAAAAATTGTCTTTCACAACATCCTAGGCAAAAATGGTGTTTTTTTTCATCACAAGATGAAATTAGCATTCTGTGTATCAAGGAAAACTAACAATTTAGCTTTTGGGGTTGTTCAAATAAAGCATTTGTGTACTCAAAAAAGAAACAATCTCCACATGTTCCAAACTGTCTTGCTCCCTGAAGATTAGTATTATAGAGTATTCCAGGGGAGGTGGGGGGATGGCAGAAAATCTAGACTCCTTTCCCCGCCTTCACCTCCACTACATTATACTTCCTTCCTCTTTGGTACTACTACTTCTCTTGAACAAACATCTCCATCTAATTAGGAAGGCTCTAGTCAAAATAATCTTGTGAAAACAAGTCCATTATTTAATTTTGTCTTTAGCCTTTCTCTTGGCAGAAAAGGTATTTTGTTTCACTTTCTATTTTGGGTCAGTTTTACTACCCAATGATGTAACATGGATGTAACTTGATAACACAAGTCTGCATTACAGTGATGGGGAAGTGTCTCCTTTCAGGAGAAAATGTTGTGCCCTGAAATTTCAGCCTTTAACATATAAGTAAATATCATTGATAAATTAATTTTAGCCTTTGGTTTCCAACATTGCTTGCTTCATTGCAGCCGCTCCTGGTCTTGATTGATGTGAATGTATATTGGAAAGAGAAGCAGCAAATAAATGGACAAGGAAATAATGAACCTGAAAATTGAACTAGCTGGATTTATATGACATTGGTTTAATTAAAAATAATCTAAAATTATTTTAAAAATGTAATTCAATTTTCATTAGCAGAATGCTAAATATAACTGCTATTGTCTTTAAAACACTTCAACATTTCAAATGGAAGCACATATTTGTGGTTGATATGTAGTGTCTTCCATGAAATACAATAATCAATTTAAGAAGATAAACTACTTGGATATGCTATCACCATAAAAATAGTATTTTTCAGGTGACAGCTCTAATTTAAGAGGAAAACAATTATGATAAAACATTTAATACCTTGTTGTAGCTTTCCCTTGGTAGTTTCATTTAGTGTGCTGGAAAATTATGTCACCTACTCTGCTGTTGGCACCTTCCAGCTGTATGTTATTTGCCATGTTCTAGGGTAGCATGCCACTCAGAATCAAGCAAGCCAGGGACCAGAACTAAATCAAATGGTAAACCGTTACCAAACAGACCAAGTGCAACAAAACAATGGTACTAAGTGCAGCAAAACCGTGGTTTTAGGCCTTTGTAATTCTTAGAGCAAAGTAGCACAACCTTTTTAAGCCCATATTGGGAATTTTCTATTTCTTTTACACGAGTAACCTTAATTCTCTTAACTCTTGACTTTCTGCTTTGCCAATATTCATAAGCTGATTGACTGACATAGTTATGCTGTGGGCTATGTGCTGTGGGTTATTCTCTGTGCTCTGTGCTTCTGAGCTTATGAAGGAAATGACATAATTTTCTTGCAGATACTGGTATATGATTTTCAACTCAATTGGGTCATTGAGATTGATCATCAGTCCCTTTTCTCATCCTAAATCACATACTATTTTCCTTAGAAATTTTTCAGGTTTTTATTGCTCTTTACAATTTCCCAATTCCATATCTATGCTTAATTTAACTGAGAAAGTAGACACTGGGAGTAAATCGCATCAACACCCCCTTTCCCCTGACCTGGCCTTATATTGTTAATAACATGTATAAGGTAAAGTGTGGCTCGAGAGAAACTGGAGCCAGATCATGCACACTATAGGTCATGTTAAGGTTTGGACGTGTTATTCAAAGAACAAGTAGAAGCTCTTGAAGGGTGCGAGTGAAGGGCTGATTTTTCTGCCTTTGGGAAGAGAGTTGAAGATAACTGTGGAAAGAAGACATTTAGAGTGAGACCTATTCCAGTCCTCTTTGATCCAATCGAGTAAGCCAAACACACTGCTCCTGCTTATCAACACATCTGAAAGCTAGTGATACAAAAGACAACCTACATTATTTCCCAAATACTGATCCTTAGCTCAGCTGCCTCAGAATCACTTGGGGAGACATATAAACAGAGATTCTCAAACTCGATTCCCATAAGAGTATAGTTTTGTTAAGTTGGTTACTGATTCTGATTACTAGTTTTGTTTGAGGACACTGATGGGGAAGAGGTGTGGAGCTGGACTCCTCAGAACCACAGAAAGGTAAGGCAAGGGAGGCAAAAATATGGACCAGGTTTAAGGGAAATCACTAGATGATGACATCCATTCTCCACTTTGATGCCAGTCCTTCTAAGATATGAATCTGATCATGTTATGTATAAACTTCCTTTTTTTGAAACTTTTATTTTAGGTTTGGGGGTACACATGAAGGTTTGTTACATAGGTAAACACATGCCACAGGGGTTTGTTGTATATACTGTTTCATCACTCAGATATTAAGCCCAGTATCCAATAGTCATTTTTTTCTGCTCCTCTCCCTCCTCTACCCTCACTGCTCAAGTAGACCCCAGTGACTGTTGTTTTCTTCTCTGTGTTCATAAGTTCTTATCATTTTAGCTCCCAGTTATGAGTGAGAACATGCAGTATCTGGTTTTCTGTTTCTGCATTAGTTTGGTAAGGATAATAGCCTTCAATTCTATCCATGTTCCTGGAAAAGACATAATCTTGTTGTTTTTTATGGCTGCATAGTATTCCATGGTGTATATGTACCACATTTTATCTGGTCTTTTATTTGTTAAAAACACGTGCTTTGAATGAAGAGACCCCCCAAACAGGCTTTGTGTGAGTAACATGGCTGTTTATTCACCTGGGTGCAGGTGAACTAAGGCTGAAAAGGGCGTTATCAAAGGGTGGTGGAATAGAAGTTGGTTTTATAGGTTTGGGGTGGGCAGTGGAAAGTTACAGAGTAAGATCAGTTACAGTGGTGGGGGTAGGGGCAAGGAGTATACATTACCATAAGTTCAGTTACAATGGTGGATGGGATAATAGTAGTTAAGATGGTAGGGTGGGGCGGGGAGTATTCACATTATTTTATCATAATAACAGTTAAGATGGCAGGGTGGGGTGAAGGGAAGCTTATGTTCGGGGAAGGAAGCTAAGAAGCTCTGCTGGGCGATCAGGGATAATGGTGAACGCAGGCTGTGGGGTTGGGGTAGTGGTGATCAGGCAGGCAGGACTTTAGACTTTCTGGGTCTGGGCTTGCACATGGAGGCCTGACATTATTGATGGGCATTTATGTTGATTCCATGTCTTTGCTATTGTGAATAGTACTGCAATGAACATTTAGGTGCATGTTTCTTTAGCATACAGTGATTCATATTCCTCTGGGTACATATCAAAATGGTATTGTGGGTGAAATGGTAGTTCTGCTTTTAGCAGATTTGTAGAATTGCCACACCGCTTTCCACAATGTTTGAATTAATTTACACTCCCATTAACAGTGTGTAAGTGCTCCTTTTTCTCTTCAACCTCGCCAGCATGTTATTTTTGACATTTTAATAATAGCCATTTTGACTGGTGTGAGATGGCATCTCATTGGGTTTTTGATTTGCATTTCTCTAATGATCAGTGATATTGAGCTGTTTTTCATGTGCTCCTTTGCCACATCTATGTTTTCTTTTGAGAAGCGTCTGTTCATATCCTTTTGCCCAGTTTTTAATGGGGTTGTTTGTTTTTCCCTTGCAAATTTATTTACGTTCCTTACAGATGCCAGATGTCAGACGTTTGTCAGATGCAGTTTGTAAATATTTTCTCCCATTCCTTAGGTTGTCTGTTTACTCTGTTGATAGTTTCTTTTGCTGTGCAGAAACTCAAGTTTAATTAGATTCCACTTGTCAATTTTTACTTTTGTTGTGATTGCTTTTGGTGTGTGCATCATGAAATCTTTGCTCATTTCTATGTCCAGAATGGTATTGCCTCAGTTGTCTTCCAGGGTTTTTATAGTTTTGGGTTTTACATTTAAGTCTTTAATTCCTCTTGAGTTCATATTTGTGAGTGTATAAAAAAGGGGTCCAGCTTCAATTTTCTGCATATGGCTAACCAGTTATCCCAGCACCATTTATTAAATAGGGAGTATTTCCCCCATTGTTCATTTTTGTTAGCGTTGTTGAAGATCAGATGGTCGTAATGTGTGGCCTTATTTCTGGGTTCTCTATTCTGTTCCATTGATCTATGTGCCTGTTTTTATACTGATATGCTGTTTTGGTTGCTCTAGTCTTGTAGTATAGTTTGAAGTCAGGTAATATGATACCTCCAGCTTTGTTCTTTTTGCTTAGGATTGCCTTGGTGATTCAGGCTCTTTCTTGGTTCCATATGAATTTTAAATAGTTTCTTCTAGTTCTGTGAAGAATGTCTTTGGTAGTTTGATAGGAACATCATCGAATCTGTTAATTACTTTGGGCAGTACAGCCATTTTAATGATACAGATTTTTTTGTTTTTTTCCATTAGCATGGAGTGTTTTTCTACTTGTTTGTGTCTTCTCTGATTTCTTTGAGCAGTATTTTGTACTTCTCATTGCAGAGATCTTTTACTTTTCTGGTTAGCTGTATTTCTAGGTATTTTATTCTTTTTGTGACCTTGTGAATGGGGTTTCCTTTCTGATTTGGCTATTGTTGGTGTACAGGAATGCCAGTGATTTTTATACATTTGTATACAAATATAATATATTTTACATATTATACAAAATGTATTTATACATTTTGATTTTGTGTCCTGAAACTTTGCTGAAGTTATTTATCAGCTGAAGGAGCTTTTGGGATGAGACTAGAGATAGTTTGACTATTCAGTAGGAAATTATTTGGATGCCTTTTATTTGTTTCTCTTGCCTGTTTGCTCTGGCTAGGACTTCCAATACTATGTTGAATAGAAGGGTATCCTTATCTTGTGCCAGTTTTCAAGGGGA